CCTTTCATGAGTTTTGTGTATTGACAAAAAACAATAATGACATGCAGAAGGCAGATCATGGAAAAGGCTCAGCCTATTTTTATATGTATGGGCATAATATGTAGTGGGGATTCGAGTCCACCAACCACTTTTAAGCTGGCTCCCTAGTAAACTCATAGCCCAATTCATCAAAAGATATGGCTGTCGGTCAAAAGCCCGTACCCCTAGTGAACATGCCAATCCCCACTAAAATGGGTTCTAAAATGGGTGGTGCACCTACCCCAAAATGGGATCCCATTGGTTTTGACCCACAGCCATTTTGATCGTTGGAGTTCTGGTAAGGCCCATATGGAGTGCCTCGGCCTCGACTCGCGGGGGCGGAGAGAAGCCTCGATGCGACGGGCCCGCCCCGACCCCAAGCCACCGGGAGGGGGGCCTCAAAATGAGAGGCACTCGTTCCAGGTGGCTTTAGGTTTCCTTTGAGACAGACCCAAATGGTGTCCAGAACCTATGCAACCCATTTGCCCTGGACCTTTGTGGTAGGTAGTGATTTGGGGGTCGCGGAAACCCTCTTGGACCAATGAACCTCCACTCAAACACTTGAGCAGGCGGCACAGTGGTTTCTCAGCTTAGCAGAGTGACCCCGTCTTCAGATGATTTCAAAGTTCAGGTTGTTCAAGTTGTTCAAGTTGTTCAAGCTTGTGCTTCGACGGGTATACATTCTCAATCATACTGCCATCCTATCAATTGCCTTGCTGTTACTGTCAGAACTCCCCCAATTCCATTTCGCCCTGCTCTTCCAGTTCGCCGTCTTTTCCCAATGAACGGCGTCAGCCAAACCCAGCACACGAATCTGAACCATGTCACGATGGGTCTGGAAGCCCTGCTGACACCCAAAACATCCCAAAACAAAGGATGCCAAAAGGGCAACGCGTAACTTTGATACTCAAATAATGCAACCCTCGTGGTTGACCGAAGAGGGTGTCTCACATTAAAGGGACTCACTTTCGGGAAACGCTGTCGGAGCATTCGAAACATGGTCATGGTAGTCTCGCGCGAGCTTCCCGTTTGCAAGGACCTCACAGTCTACACCAAACCGGCAGTTTCTCGGTTCAGTTCAGATTGCTGACTCTTTGAACAAAACCAATCGCACCAACTTGCTTACGCAACCTGCGTTTGGTTTCCTTTGAAGGGGGCGTCAAAACATTCTGCCACCACGGGGTCCGTAACAAGTGGGCTGTCAGGGCTTCCCCTTTGGCACCATTTCTCCCATGCCCCCTTGCCCCCAAGAGAAATTTGATCGGTCGAAAGACGGGGGTGTCAGAAGCAAACCCTGGTCACGGTCACGCTCGGGTTCAGGCTCAGATCCAAATCTGGGAACTGCTGCAGCGACAGAGTGAGCTGAGAGAAGCCCTGCGACAGTTGATGCGCATTCGAATGGTGGCAGGATTTTATGTGGCTGTGGCTCAAAAACAATGGTGCCATTTTGGGGTAGGTGCACCACCCATTTTAGTCTATTGTAGTGGGGATTGGGATGTTCACTGGGAGTTTGACCCATGGCCATGTCAACCTTAGTGCCTGATTCTCCCTCAAGGTGAGGTTCGCCAGCACAGAAGTGGGAACCAACCAACGGCTCCTTCCCACCAACCTGTGCTCGACACGCAGGGCAGTACCGCAAATCTCTGTGACTCTATGACCCCAACCAACAGCAAACTTCAGTGGAGATCCCTGGAAGACAAGTTTCCCTTTCTTTCAGGACCTTTTTGCTGGCTTCCTTGCTGGGTGGGAGGAGAACCCTAACTCTTGGAACTGACCCTACGTTCAATGTTGACACCGGAACTAACTCCTGCTTGGAGACGATCCCCCCTTACCCACTACAATCCAATACTGAAACAGCAACTCCCAATGATCAAAGCCGAGGGGAGATCCAAGCTCCTAAATCCTTCTTCTTTTGCAAGGGGGCCACGACGTGTTTTCCTCGAAGTGACCAAAGGGAACCATTGAAGTGAGAATCTGAAGCTCAACACTCGCAGCCTCCGTTTGCAAGGTGTTGCTCTTGAGCAGCTCCAGGAAACTTTCCTGCGACTCAGCCCACACGGAACCCGACTCCTATTGATCACTGCTTTGCTGATTGGAAGGGAAAATCAAGCAAACCCGAAAGGGCAAAAGAGAAACAGGGTTAGGTCAGTTCGGCATTGCTTGACCCCAAAAGGATCGAACGTGATCTCTGGCGGCCAAAACTAGACAACCTCAAGGTCAGGTGGTTGGCTTTGGGCAAGTGAGCCAAGCACTTTCATGCGGTCTGCGCCGAAAGCAAGTTGCCCGGCACAGAACAAATAAACAACACCGCGATGCTTGGCAGAGTAGATTGCGACTGTGGCCTTTGTGGGCGAGACTTTCTGACGCGCTTCACACAGGAGGTACCGAGTTCGAGGTTCCCCCGTCCTGCAGAATGACTTCAGGACTGTGGGGTTCTATCAACATGGCTATTAAGAATTATTGGAAGGGCCCGTACTGCTTGAGATACTGAGCATATGTGGTTTGGGTTATTCACGTCAAACACTAGGGGAAAGAACCCACTAGATTGGTCAAAAGGAATCGGTTTTGTGCGCTGCTTTGTTGAGCTTGGACACGTTTCGGTCAGCATATTATCCATCCGCATGTGCCATGGTCAAAACTCCTTACACGGTCATGACTCCCTGAACAGGAACCCTTACAGGTGTCGAAACCACGCATGGGACGGCCATGAACGTCCCTAGCAAGCCCAAAGTAGGGTAGTTTGTCCATGGCACACAGGGGGTGTTCAGAGCCGCTGTTGTCACTGCCCCGCTCCCAACCCATTCGTGGTGAGCATTTGGCTCAACGTGTCCTAGATATGAACACCTATGAAGCTGGTTATTTGGTGAAATGTTTTTTTTTTTTTTTTTTTCTTTTTTTTTTTCGCTCGATTGTGGAAAACCAGGTCTCAAAGGGGTCCAACATGGCCATACAGGATCTATACAATCAACCGTTTGTTAATATGCCTCACTGACACGTTCAAACATTTGAAAGCGTGAGCGGCTGAGGCCATGAAAGCATACCAAATGACGATTTAGTGGGGACTGCCTATCCGAAAATAATCCAAGAAAATTATCCGCAGGATTGCAGTTGAAAGACCTAGGCACCAAGGTGTTGACATATTTTGCCAATTCATGCTAACCCTGTCACAAACTAAGTGGTGTTCTCCCGATTCCACTCCAAAGTGAGGCACCCTTTGTTAATCAACAGAGGGTTTGCCAATGTGGGGCGAACAGTAATAGGGCTCCAGGCGCCATTCCCAATCGCCAGCAGGCGTCCCCCTTCACGCTTTCCCACCTTCAGCTGCTTCTCGTAATTTCGGGAGTCGATCTTGGTGACAAACCTGAGTGGGCTGCGCTAAGCACGCAAAGCGAGAAATCAGGTTAGGTTGCCGTGTGGCTGTTTGCTTTTTCCTTTCACCCTGGGTCCCATTTGAGAAAACGTTGCCAATCTATTGCAGCAAACCATTTTGTCACCTGCGCTCTTGTTCAACCACACGACTGGGTCCGACTTAAAACAAAGGGTCGCAAATGGATGGTGTCCTTCTGGCCTTCTTTTGACCCCAACGGGAAGGGGTCCCCCAATACCTTGCCCGGATCATGATACTGAGATCGTGGCGACATACCGGCAAAGAATTCCTTGGGCGACAGCCTTGCAAGCTCAAGGATGAGCTCACTAAGTGTTACCCCCTAAAACCCCGCAAAAAATGTAACCTTTTGGGGGCTGGGGGTGGGGGCCGGGGCTTGACACCGAAAAGAGGGGTCCAGTCCCCAAACGCGAATTCCTCTGGTGGGCTTCCGCGTATGTTCGTCTGGGGAGCGATTGGATGGATAGCCATGCCTATAGTAATCTCACACATGTGTTCCCTGAATGGAACAGAGGGCCCCAACACCACCTCTCAGGAAAGGTTTTGCTAATCAGCCAATCTTCTTGATCCAAGGGTTCCGTGAACCTTGTAGAGGGGGTGCGACTTTGTCTCTCCTGAACAGACCATGAACTCAATGAACAGTTTGTCTAAAATGTGCGGGCCATTTCTGTGGGCCTCATTTTACAGTCTCGCTTCCGGGGGTACGTACCAACAACAAGCCAGTGGGTCACACAAGGCTCATGCATTGACGGGATCCATACCGATGGCCGGTACATGTATACACATATATGGTTATGAGGTCTGTCACGGAGGTCCTTGTTACGCAGGCCTGTAACGGGAAAACATTTCCTGACAAGTACCAGTATCAGTAGCACAATGTAGTGCAGAACAACGAAGAGCAGCAGCTCCCGCTCGACAGTCGCAACTCTTCAGTACAAGCGCAGTACGAAAAGCACGTCTCCGCAGCTCCAGTTAAAGTTTGCAACTGGCAAAAGCCAAGCGATGGCAAAAAGGGGGGTCACGGGTTCGGGTTGGCTCTGTAACGAGGTATGTAACGGCTATGTAACGAGGTCTGTAACGAGGCAAAGCAAAGCGCAGTACGCAAAAGCGCCCCCCCGCAGCTCCAAGCGTCTGTAACGCGGTATGTAACGGCTGTGCAACGAATTCTGTAACGAGACAAAGCAAAGCACAGTAGCAATAGCTGCTCCTGTTTCAACTTTTCATCTGAATGGCAAGCTCTCTGCAAGTTGACTCTTCAGCGAAAGCATGCTCTGCAAAGGTCTGATCTGCAGGCACCCATGCGAAATCACTGAGAGTCTGTGAGGAGCACGCAACCAGCCAAGGGGTATGTAACGAGCCAGTGGAGCTTGTTACGGAGGTCTGTAACGAGGTCTGTAACGAATGTCCGCCGCGGCTCTGTTGCAGACCCCTCAAAAAAAACACAGCCATATTTATATATAAGCATTACTAGTTTTTTGGGAAGTGGGTGGTGGTTGGAGGATAGTGATAGCCAACATATGTCAGAGACCGTGATGGATTGTGGATTCGTAAATGCACACAACACACCCACACTAGTGCATACAAGTGTAGCACAACTCGAGTGGGTTGCAGGATGCCGATGCATGTGTTGAATAACATTCAGCTGGTCGCCTGCACGACATCCGAGTGTATCAATGCTAGCGACATTACAAAGAGGCGGTGCTATGTCGGCATTCCTGTTCTGTGGACTGGTCCCCAAATGATTTTCTATCCTTGATTTGCATCCTCAGCCATCTGAGTAAAAGTGATAGCTGTTTTTGGGATACGATTCCAGCCCTTTCACCGCTGAAGATTTCTTGGAGACTCTGTTTGCCCAAACGTAGCGGTTGGAGCACCCTCCGGCGGGCCTACATTTCTTTGTCCAAAGGGTCCATGCCTGCCTTTGGATACCCTTTGGAATGACCAAAAACAGTCCACCATTTAAGGTTTGGTCGTGTTTTTTGGGGGTATGGCTTTTTGGCTTTAAAGTAAACTAACCGCACCGCCAACATTTCTGATATACCCCTGTTTTAAGACATGCCCATTTTGAGAAACCCTCTCTCGGAACTTCGCGCCTGTCCCAAAGCTTGTTGGGCCCAATGATCTTCTTCACCTCGTGCCGACGGACAAATGGGACCCCTTGAACAGGATTGAACAAATGAAATGTCTTTGTTAGGTCCGCTAAACATGGTGGCTCTCCTGGTCTTGTTGTGACTTTAAACCAAAAAACCGCCAAAAGGAGGGCAAGGGTACCGTCAAAGAAAAGACAGACCCAAACAGGTCTGTCTTCGTTGAGTTGGTACCCTTTTTGTCCATGGTTGTATTTTTTCTGGGGAACCAAAAAGAAACCGAAGACCACTGTGGGGCTCCTATTTTGAGAGACATGGGCCCCTTGTGGATGCTACATCTCGATCCTTTGCAATCGGAAGCCGCTGAATCGAACCCAGGGCCCACTGGTTGCAATCCATGGGGTGCTCCCACGTTGGTGGCTGGTATTGGTGGATTCGGGACTTCACAAAATTGTGGCAAACCTCTAGAGCGATTTCTCAAATCACCGAGCAAGTGGAGGCTGAATTCATCTGCTAAGTCCCGTGGCTGGCGTATTGGTCGCTCCAAAATGGCAAAACAGAACACATCCAATTGCGATCTGGTAAGTGCAGGCCAATTGTAGGGTTCCTTTTGCTTCCTAACAAAGCATGGAACCTACTGTTAAGCTGATTACACGCAATCAACCACTGTTTGTCTGAACGGCATTTGGCTTGTGGTGAGTGAACACCCTATTCTCAAACAGTACTTTGGTGCGTGCTGAACATAGTCGCACGTCAATAGCAAAACTCGATCGCACACGGAGAGATTACCATAATACCGTGTTCCAACAATGTACTTGAAGTCTCTTTTGGACCCTTGAAAAAACAAAGGTTTGAAGGTACTGACAAACCTTGTGATAACAAGGGGTCATGGAGAATCTTTGTTCCAATACGGCCAGGACGTCCATTGCTTGGCTGGCTTCTCTCTTCGTGCTAGGCCCAAGCCTCCTGGTAGAGCTGCACCATCTCCTTAGGCGCGACTGCGATGCCCACGTTCGGGCCCCAAACCCCAAATCCCAACTGAGTCGCACTGCGACACAATCAACACCCAGTAAACGGGTCGACCCAGAACCCCTTTTAAGGAATCAAAAGTGCGGAAGCTTGTCGCGCCTATTTCATCCATTTCTGGTGCTACCAACCTTGAGGGTTTTGTTGCAGTCCGAACAGCATCCCACGGGTTGAGCGATTGAACAAAAGCGCAGCCCGTGTCAAACTCTCTGACAGCCAGGAATGCGAATTTCCTGTCAGGCTATTGCTTTGGCCAACCTGCCATCTTGATTCCCAACAAACATGGACTGGAGCTGTCTCAAACAACTGAAGGGTGGCTTCCCCTTAGTTTCCCTTTGATGCCTGCTGCGCTCACTTGAGGTTTCCATCTCCAACAGGAAATGGAATTCCAGCCGTCCCTCCCCCACTCAAGCATTGTGTTGAAGGGCTGGGTATATGATTGTAGTGGATCAATATATAAACCCCAACTTCAGGGAAACCCTTCCTGGGTTGTGGGGGGAAGAGCTGGCAAAATCACAACACCCCTCCCCCGGCAGATTTCCACGAGCGACCCCTGGATTGGGACTGGGTTCCCCCCCCATCTCTCGTCCTGAATCACTTGTCGCCAGTGGGATGTATGTCTGACTATGGACTCCCTTTCTCCAAAATGTCCCCAATGGACGACCAATAGTGGGGTTTCTCAAAACAGGGGACCCTCCCCTGCACCCAAGAAAGGTGGTTTAAAGAAAAAACAGCAGGCAGAAAACCATTTTGGGTGTGCCTTTGTGCAGGAATCGGACCCCCCAAACTAGTTGTCCCGTTGGCTTCCCTTTAAAGCCGGCACCCCAGCAAAAGGCCCGCCCTTTCTTTCAGGGTTCCCTTTGAGACTCTCCCCTCTCATCTGCAACTCTGGGCCTTCCGGCCCGTGGCACCAGCGTCAAGTCCGAGGACATGCCGTTCCGGCGCACCGAGCTCTCCACAAGGCAGCAAAACGGGTGTAGCGGCCTGTGCGACAACATAACCCAAGCATCCGCCATCCTTAGAGTAAGCTCCCTTTGCAGTTCAATGGGTAAGTAGCTTTGCCTTCCGAAGCCAAAAAAGAAACACACACCCAAGAAAAACAATGGTTTACAGCCTTCAGATACTACTCGGAAAAGCCAGGAAGCATGTCATAAAGCAAGTATGAAAGCCCTAGCCATTGTCAGAGTGAAGCTCGAACGCAAAATCGCATTGGACATTGCAAAGGAAAGCCGGGAAGGAAGCTAAGACTCTTCAAAGCACCACATTGGTGCTACTGGTACCTTAATCGCGAAACGGTGCATCCTTTACGCCGCATAAGGATTAGTGCCAAAATGGGAGGATTGCCCAGCTCCACTGGGCAGCTCCCCTCAGCAGCTGATGGGAGTAGAATTGATGCCACTCCCACAGCGAGGGAGGAATCCTCCCACCTCACCGGATGCCCTCCCGGCATCATGGGTGAGGAAGGAAAGTAGCGAAGATCAGCTTGATCAATTCGCTTTCGACTGAGGGGAAGACCCGGTTCTCAGTCGGAAATTGCGGGTCCGGATGAGTAAGTTCATCCGCCCATGTGTTAAAGTCGCGCTTCACATGCGACGGTCCTAACATGACCTGGTGGTCATGCAGTGTTAACACAATTTCCATGAGGATGGCCGCATTGGGCATCCTGCGAGTGGAATCGTTAAGCAGGGAGAAAACGTTTCCCTGGTTATCACTAGCAACCAGAATCCTAGTGTGAGAAGCCGAGCCGGCTGCACAAAGCAGAACAGCCCTCACCAAAAGGAGGAGGCCGAAGAGCTCCAAGGCCGCTATCGCCCGCTGCGGGTCCCCAGTAGTGAAGGCCCACGGCTCGCCCTCCGGTGTGATTCTGTGTTGGAACCACTTCACTCGGGACTTGTCGGGGTTGGGCACGTCCGAGCACCAACCACCAACCCATGCATGGTCCGCCTGTTTGCCAGCTCCCGCATCAGATGCCCCCGTCCATGGAAGTGTGGGAGCAAATGGAGATGCCAGTGGGAACCTCTGGTTGAAGAGCTTCCCCAGAAGGATGGCCAGAGCACGAACCAGCTTCGGTGGCCTGCCCGAAGTGGTGCAGGCCTTCTTCCAGCTCCAAAAGGGCTGGAGGAAAGGTTTCGTCAATGGACACGCCGAAGTAGCCCATTGAATCCGGCCCAGGGCTTGTTCCACCTCCTTGCTGGTAAAGATGTCCCCCTGGGCCAGCCGTTTGAGAGTGGCCAGGATTATGACGTGCTTGACTGGAGCCAGCAGCACACAGGGCGTGATTGGGTCCACCACGAATCCCAACCAGGTATTGACCGGGGAGAGCGCCGTCTTCTTCCAAGAAAGCGGGACTCCCAGCGCCAGAAGAGTGGCCAGGATGGCTGTGGCGTCCCAGTCCGCCCTGCTGCATCTGAGGACCCAGCAGTAGTCGTCCACAAAAACTAAGTGCCAGTCCACCTGAGGGAAGATGTAGTACAAGAGTCTGAGCACCAAGGATGCCTTTCTTCCCCAGTACAGTTGTGCCGAGGCCATGCCGTACGTGCCCACTCTATTGACCCACCACCGGTTCTGGATGCAGGCCACCTGGTATTTCCAGTCTTTCTGGAGCACTTTTATGCGCCTGTGGGCCTTGGTGACATCCGCCTTGAGGATGATGAAGGTTTCCCCCTGTGTCGGCGGCTGCCACGTCAGGGGTTCCCCCCTGCTCCCCCCAGGGCGTTCCGTGCCTGGGGGGTTGGGGGGAATGGGGCCCTCCTATCAGGGCCCTCGGCACCTGGGAGTGGCCCCTTCCCTGAGGGTGTTGACCGCGGAGAGACGTCCAGGCCGCCGGAGGTCTCCATCATCCGCCTGCCCCTATCAGGGCCCTCGGCACCTGGGGGCAGGCTGGTGCTGTGGGGTCCCTCTCAGGGCCCTCGGCACCTGGGGACTGCCCCTGCACCGGCTGGTGAACATCCCGAGGTTCCTCATCAGTGCCCGAGGATGGGGCTCGGAGTAGATGAGGATGGTCCGCCGCTGTCCTGAGCCAGTGGATGGCATGGAGGCAGTCTCCAACCATCGGTGCGGTGGTCTTCTCCTCCGTGTGAGCCTGGATGTGTGCGTTTGCTCCCCCTTTTGAGCCATCATAGATCGTCCTGATCTTGTCCGACTCATCAATCCCTGCAAGGGGGCCCGGGCAAAGTTCCTCCGGTTTGCAGCGGCACCTCTCTGCCGCCTCGGAGCGAGTGAAGGGCCCGTCCACCATGTCCAAGGCTCGTTCCTCGTAAAAGGTTGATTCGATTTCCTTGGCAAAGAGTTCAGCCGTTGGGTAGTTATCATGAGCCACTGGCGGGGGGGGATCTTCCCCCAGCCAGGCTTCTCCCTTAAGCTCCTCCTTAGTGGGCCAAACTCCCGGGGAGGTCAAGGTAGGGTCCGAGACTCCCAAGGGGACCCCCTCTTTCAGTGTTAGGGGGAACTCCCAATCAGGGTCACCTGAAAGGGATGCCAAGTGCGACACTAAGTCCAGGAGGAAGGGTTGTCCTGGGCATCGTTCATGGAGGTGCCTCGGTCCTAGGATAGCCCGCAGCTCCTCGAGGTCGGCTTCCTGGAAGGGGTGTGTGGTGGCACCTGATGCCAGGGACATTCGGACCTTGTCAATCCAGGGCCGGGTAAGGGTCATGATCAGGGCGCCCAAAGTAGCCAATGGGGAAATTCTCCGAAAAGGGGGGTTGAGCCTCCCTGGGGAAGGTTTTCCCCCCCCATCCCTCAGGGGGCGTGAGCGGAAACCCAATTGGACAATCGCCACCCGGTCAGTGAGGTGTGGGACCCTGAAAGCGGGCAGGCATTCGGGGCGGTCCAGGACCTGGTCCCCCTGTCCCTCCTTCCCCAGTTGTTCCGCATCTCCGGCCATCGGGGGCATGGGAGATGGGAAGTCTGGGTTCATTGTTCCACGAGGGCTTACGGTGTCTGCCTCAGGGTGGAACTGCCCGTGCAGGCGGGGCTTCGGGGCGTTCTTGCCTCCGGGCTTTGAGCCCTGGTGTGATGAGGAGGGACCGCCTCCTTGACTGGGCCCCCGTTTTCCCCGGGGGGAATGGCCTTCCGGGGGGTCCGACCCCCGCCCCTTAGGTGGTTCCTTGGGGTTTCCCGGAAATTGTGAGGGGATCCGGATGTGCCCCGGCGCTGCGAGTGACACAGCGATGGCTTTGGCCAGGCCTGCCATCATATCCCAAGGGTATCTGCTAAGAGTCGAGGACTCGTTGGTGCCCACATGTGACTGATGCGTGCACCGCATTTGATCCCAGTCCTGGATCGGGAGATCCGTGGCCAGCGTAGTGGCCTTCTTGACCAGCTGGCCCAGGCGGCACTGGTCGAAGGAGATTGCTGTCAAGGAGTTCTCCTCCATCCAAAGCTGCCCCTCCTCTGTGATCCAGAAGGATGAGCATTCCTTGGCTTTGGGCAGCGAGCTGCTCACCACTGGGTCCTCCGGGTGTTCCAGGAAGGACCTGGGCCCTGGCAGAGAAACCGCCGCTCGTGAGGCCCTTGCCAGGCTGGTGATGTACATCTGTCTCAGAATGAGGATGCTGTCATCATCAAGTTGAGTCTGGGCGGCCTGGTCCGGAAGGCCCCAAAGTGTCTCTGGAGTGCGCCCTCGCACCGGGGTGGGAGCCTCCGGTTTTGGTATGTGGCGCAGGATGGACCATGTCCTGCAGTTGGGTCCTCCTCCAATGAAGACCACTCGGCCCTGCTTTGCTGCCGTGCAAAGAGCCATACAGCTCGGGTTGGAGCATATCGTGGTCCCCTTTGGGTCCAGACCGTAGGATGTCTACCGCCACCACCATGCTGGAAAGGTGTGGGTAGTTGGCATGAAGACAGCTGTCCAAGGAAGTTGGGTCTTCCTTGCCTGCATAGAGCAGGACAATGATGGGCCCACTGGATGGAACTTTGGGCGATGTGCCCTGTGTCCATCTCAGCCGCTGTACCAGACGCTCAGGGATGTTCTCCATCCACGGGAAGATGTCCAATCCCGGTGACGGCTCCGTTGGACTTGTCAGGGGGGTAGCTGAAAGGCGTTGGCCCCCTTCATTCAGCCCCACCGAGCTCTTGTGGAAAACCACCGGGTCCTGCTTGATGATGTTGGGCGCCGGAAGTGGGATCGGCTGCTTCCTGGGAGTGTCCCTTGGCGTTGCGGTGTGCTGCCAGTCATCCGGCACTCGGGCCTTCTGGGTGCGGCCCCCCGTGTCAGGGCCCTCGGCACCTGCGGGGAACCGTCCCGTCCCCGCCATATCAGGGCCCTCGGCACCTGTGGCTCGGGACTGAGGCGCCGCCGTTGTGCCGGTTGTGTGGCTGTTCTGATCACGGCGAGGGCGTTGTGCACGCTGGTTCTGCCGTCCCCATCCTTGTTCCGCCGAGGATGGCCGCCACCTGGCCTGTCCCCCCCCTGTGTCAGGGCCCTCGGCACCTGCAGGAGGGGGCTTCTGTGCCTGCTTGGGGCGTTTGCGCCCCTTCTCGCCCCCCCGGGCCTTATCAGGGCCCTCGGCACCTGAGGCCTCCCGGGGGGTAGGGGTCAGCGCCCCTAGTCAACCCGGGCAGTCCTGCGGGAGGTGGTCCCCCAGGCAGATGCGGCCCATTGCCAGGATGAGGTTGCACTTGTGGGTGCGGCCGCAGTTGCCCGGGCAGCGCCCGCGCATCCAGTTGTTACAGAACTGGTTCCCTTTCGGGTCGGTGGCTGCCTGCTTGTTACCGCCCCGGGACGCCTGATTGTTCAGGTGGGGGGGCTTACCCTTCCCTTTGTTCCCAGGCTTGCCCTTGGACTTCCCCTTGCCCTTGGACTTGTTCTTGCCCTTCTGAGGTGGTGCGTAGTCCATGGATGTCCTGGTTGATGGGCGGCCCCTGGAAAAGGTCTTGATCTTCTCATAGACCTCACGTGTCCAGAACAATGTGTCCTGCCTGACCGACAGCATGGCCGCCTTGAGGGTGTTGCCCTCATGCATCTTCTCGTGAATCTTTCGCCA